ATTGTTCCCACAGTGGAGCTTTCATCTCTCTAACAGGTGCACAAGCAGCAATAAAGAAAAAACATGACAGGAGTTCTAATCCCTCTCCACTCTATCCAAAGCTGACAAAAGTTTTGGGCTCAAGATAAACCTTAAGGGCTTGCTCACACGCTATCCAGTTCATGCCAGCACGGTTAGTGGCTGGAACACACTGTATCGCATAGAGCAAGCCTCCCTGCGTTCTGGTGTGGGAGGGGGCATGGCAGTACCATTGATGTCAATGGCACTGCAGTCATGCCTCCTTCCCATAGTGCGATCGCCACCGCACTAGAACGTGTGCAACAGCAATGCCCGCGGTGTGTTGTGATCACAAAAAATAGTGCATGCACACCCTGTCCTGCCCCAGAACGCAGGGAGGCTTAATTATGGGATCCAGTGCTCTCCAGCCACTAACATTGCTGGAACACACTGGATAGCGTGTGAACAAGCCCTAAATGCATGCCAGACCACAAAGGATCAAGCTTTGCATCTTATCATCGGTGTGTGAGTCCATTCTGTCAATGAAGAAAACAAACAGTAGTGCCCCTGTAACTGTGTTAAAAAAAAGATCTGTTCTGTACATAAGGAAAGCTGAGCCTCCGTGTGTCCTGTCTCCAGATATAGCCGGCACACAGCATATGCTAACTTTATTTCACGTCAGAGATGGGACAACTTATGTAACAGCCCCTGAGCGCTTATGCAGTGGCACATGCACTCTGATAACAGAAAGTGAAAGATTGTTAACAGCGAGCAGTGCTTAATAAATGGAACAGGAAGGCTGAACTTAAAGGAGAACTATGGGGTCAGTGTTTTTCCCCATAGTTCTCCTTGGGGTAACGGGAGTACACAAACTAGCGTCCTCCCGTCACCCTAAGCTCAGTATACCGCGAGCTACAGCTTGCGGTATACTGAGACGCCGCACCTGGAGCGGATCCCGACTTAGATGACGGGATCCGCCCAGCTGCGTGAGTGACAGCTGGCTCTGCCTATCTAGAGGCAGAGCCAGCTGTACCCGCCCCCTCCCCCGTCCGTTCCGCCAGTCAGCGCTGGCAGATCGGAGCAGGGATAGGGGAATCCAGCCCCTCCCCCTGTCACGACAGAGAGCCGTGACAGGATCGAGAGGTGAGGGAACCCGGTATGTTTTCCCTCACCTCGCGATCTACTGAGCCGACCTGTGACAGTCTCATTGTCACAGGTCGGCTTAGAACTATGAGGTGAGTGGAAATCACTCATCTCATAGTCCTCCTTTAACTGTCGTAAGAAACTAAAAAGGGAATACGTGTATTGAGAGTTAATAAACAATGCAGTCACCTGCCTGTCTGGACACTTCTGTCCCATGATACAATATACAACGCTCGGTGCAGTTATGGATTTCACATTATGCAAATACCCAAATAACTGTATTCAGACGCCGTCTACTCAAGTCTACTGTTATTTCCATTAAATATAAAAAATGAAAAGAAGGTGATTAACAAAACCAAGATGGATGGCAAAATAAATATGATATCATTTATTATATGGTGTTTTGAGCTGGAGGGTTGTAGTTCTGGGTAAGAACTATGGCTTCATGATGTGAGCTAAGCGTGAGTTAAGCTTTATTATGATCAATAAAACTTCTTTTTTTTAATACAGACGTGCGTGTTTAGTGTGTTTATTTACATTTACTTTGCACTCCCCTTAATTTTGAGGGAAGCAACATGCATCCTTGTATCTAGATCTTCATCTTCCTCATAAATAATCTTTCTCAACTGTTTCTCAATTCTCTTATATTTCCAGCATATCTCTGCTTTTTATTTGCCAGCTTTCCAAAAGTTCTTCCTACTTTTCCATATATTCTGTCTCCTTATTACATAACTACCATCTATCCTTATACTTTCTTCTTAGCTCTTCCTATGTCATTTTGTTCTAAAAATCACAACTGGTGTCTCCCTCTAGCTAAACCCAACATGTTTCATCGTTAAATGTACGACTTCATCAGGGTACTTTGTGATTAGGAATAGCAGTCAAAGTGCAAAATTCATAGCATTTATTCATAATAATAAAGGTTATGTATTAGATAACTCTGATGGGGCTGGTATGCAAACAGTAATGCATGTCACATCCATAACACACTATATTGAATAATTTGAACCCTAACAAAATAATCATGTTAATAGATCCATGTTAAAGAATCAGAAGAAATCAAATCTCAAACCTTGCAGTGGGGCTACCCCCGCACTGCAAGGGTTAAGTGCTCATTTTGCCTAGAGAGCTGAATAGTACGTGAGGATGCCATAGGACATTCCATTGCCAGAGCTGGGGGAGGAGACACATTGAAGAGACCAGTCTAGGAGCCAGATGGGATCGTGGTTCCAGTGAATATAACTTTGTTATTTTAGCTCCCTAGACATAATGAGCCCTTAACTCTTGCAGTGCAGGGGTAGCCCCACTGGAGTTCTTTAAATAGTGATACAGAGGTTGTACTTGTTGTTATTGTTTATTTTATATGACATTTGAAAAGGTCCTTGACCCTTAATTGCCCTATATTAACACTTCTTCTGTCTATTTGTCAACAGGTTGCTCATGAATAAGGCCATATGCACGCTATAATTCCTGCCATTAGGTTATTTAAACACAGGAGAAATATTCGGGGAAATGTAAACAAACGTTATACTTCCCAGATCACTTTTTCAGAGGTGCCTACCTTCTTGCGGGTTTAGCCGTGATTATGTGCATTTAGAGTTTCTAATTGGATCCTGGATGCACAGAATTCTGTTTGCTCTAAATGCATCTACATTGAGTGCACCTAAGCGCACGTAAACGCCCATCAAAAAACATCATATGCATTTAGAAATGTCCTTGCCAATGCCAGTGTGGATGAGGCCCACCCATATTAGTGAAAACTCACATTTCTTTGTTGTATGGATCGGCACCTCCTGGTCGGTGTTCCCCAAAGTGACGACATGGGTTGTGCTCCTTCCCAGAGGTGAGGATCCGTGAGAGCAATCTTAAGTCGCCCCCTCTTCTGCACCTCAGAAAGAACATAATTGCCTTGAGGTTCCACAAGTGACTTTAAAGTCCAGTGATGAAGGATGAACAGGAAAGTCCAAAAGGCAACAAAAGAAAAAACAGCAGCAAACTAAACACTGCATGAAAGAAGGTCCAGCAAGTTGACGTTGGGTGCGATAAGCGTTTGACCTCAGAGACCTTAGTGCCTGATGTGCAAACCTGCCAATGCGCAGCAGGTATCAGCTAACAGAGCAATTGCTACTATAGCTTGCTAGTCCACGGAAGCTTATTTGATTTCCCCTTCACGAGAAGAATTCTACACGGCAGGACTGAAATCACAAGACAAGAATCCTTTACGTTAGCTAATGCTGCTCTGGTGACACATGTCATCACTTGTAGATGTGTGACAGCACCCAAGAGAGTGCAGTCCCTTTAAGGAACCTCCGGCTGCTACACCGTAGCTATTTCCAGAGAAGAGACAAGCCTCCTGTAAAGGCCTCCCTAGCACCCAATCAGGCTGGACTGGAGGTGTGACTAAAGTAACAGAAGCTAAACCAAGGGCAGGTGGGAGGATAAGGAAGCTGAACATCTCACACCCCCATGATCAGTTTCATCATCTGCATACCCAGCCTCAGACACCTGCTCACTGGGCACACGCGACACACAAGCCAGCGCTGCTGTACAGCCATTCATTTATGATCTATTTACTACAGGCGTTTTTTATGGCACCATCAATCTACGCAGCGCTTTACGTACCTTGTACCAAAACTAGATGTTAAATAAACAAACTCATCCAAGAGTGTTTACATGACTGTAGTAGTATACGGACAAACCGCACTATCCCGAGAATTCCAATACCTCAGACTTTATTGAAATTCACAGCAAATCCAGTGTAACAGTGTATGTAACAGCGAATACCAGCACCCCAAGCCCCCAGCCAGCTAAAACCTCTCACATGTTTCACCCGTAGGCTTATTCATAAGAGTGAAAGCTTTGGAGCAATGAGATTTCTTATGGCCCTACATTTGTTTACATGACTGCACATTGAATGCTTTGTCTCACTGAGCCCCTGTCTGCACCATCGCGCGAACGCACACCAAACTTAGGGGGAAAACCATGCACTTTCATGCATGTTCAAAGAGCGTGTTAAAGCATGCAACACGCTTGCAGTGCCATTGCTAGGTCATGATTCCCCAAACGCGGCTTGGCAAATGCAGAATGCATGCCACAGATTGTGCTGCTTTCCCGCGTTTTGCCGCACTTGCAGGAACCCATTGAAATCAACGGTGATGCGTGGCAAAAACATGCCTGCAAACACGTGTCACTGTGATGTGCGTTCATGCAATGTGACAATGTGATCAGGGACTGGGGGCCCTTTCACACCAAATACACTACGACATCTGCATCTTACATTTGCATACTGCATAGACCAGGGGTAGACAACCTCAGTGAAACTACAAAATCAGGTCTCTGCCTCTGGAAGTCATGTCTGTGGCTGTCAGAGTCTTGCAATGCCTCATGGGGCTTGTAGTTCCACAACAGCTGGCTTGCCCGGGTTGCCTAGCCCTAGCATAGACGGTCAAAAATACACAGGGGAGATTTTATGAAAACTGGTGCAGACAGAATCTGGAACAGTTGCCCAGGGCAACCAATCACCTTCTCTCTTTCATTTTCAAATCTTAACTGAACAAACTGAAGAGAGAAGCTGATTGGTTACTGCTTCTGATTCTGTCTGCTTCAGTTTTGATACATTTCCCCATATTACCGAATGAGCATTGTTTACAACATCAGCTTGCGTTGCAGTGAAAAAAGGATAGCAAGCTGCATATTGTTCACACAACAAATGTGTCAAAACACTTGTAAACGCATGCAAACGCAATGCAACCAACACCTATGAACGTTCCTTCCCCATTCCACTTCCTGATTGTATGTGTGTTGTATGCAGAGAAAAAAAACGGGAAAATGTCAGACAAAAGAAGGAAGTGATCTCAAAGGAAATTCAAGCAGAAACCTTTTTGATAAGGATTTTGTAGTTAAAAAAACAAATCGCAAATGCATGCAAACACGTTTCAAACACATCGCAGCTTCACATCAACGCATGCCAACTGCATTAAAATGTGCATGTGGATTTGCATGAAAAAAAACATGCATTTTCTGGTTTGAATGGGCCCTTAAAGCAGAACTCTGGGCAAAAATATGATTAACCTTTGCAGTGGGGCTACCCCTGCCCTGCCAGGGTTAACTGCTTGTCTAGGGCTGAAAATAAAAAAGTAGTACTCACCCGCTCCTCGGAGATGGCTAACTGTTAGATCAGTCCATGGAGCCTTTCTCCCCCTCCGCTCCAGCGGTCTTAGGATCCTTCAGTGATCATGTCCAATACAGTGTATAGAATGTGAGGACGCCGAGGGACATACCATCTCTGCAACGAAGGCAGAGACAGGCTGGAGTGAGTGCTGTCGGCTCAGTGGTTTGGGTGATTACAACTTTTTTATTTTCAGCCCTCAACACAAAGGAACAGTTAACGCTTACTATGCTGGGAGTAGCCCCACTGCAAGGGGTAATAATATTTTCCCCGGAGTTCTACTTGAATTAAAAGTCTGCAAATATTCCTAATATGCAAATAAAACAGTTTCCTTTATATATATATATTGCAGCAAAGCTGACCGTACGCTATGCAGTTTGTACCATCTCTGTACTGTTTCCTTTATATTGTACTTACACTGACCATACACTAGATCTGGGGTGGGCAACTGTGGCCCTCCAGCTTCGCTTCAACTGCAAATCCCAACATGCCTCTGATTTTGTCATGCCTGTAACTGTCTTGCAATGCCTCATGGGACTTGTAGTTCCACAACAGCTGGAGGACTGGAGTTGCCCACCCCTGGATTAGATTTTATAGTGTATGGTCAGTGGTCACAATTTGTTACACAAACTCTGTAGTTATATAATAACGGGTAATGACTCGCCCCTGGCTTCCTGATTGGCCGGGGAGTTGGCTCCATGCTCCCTCGTAGCTTAGTGATTGGTTCTGATTGGTCGGGAAGCTGGCCAATCAGGAAGCCGGGCGGCGAGTCATTACCCACCCCCCGGCTTCCTGATTGGCCAGAAAACCGGCTCCGTGCTTCCTCGTCACCTGGTGAGGAGGGAGCATTGATAATCTGGAAGCCGGGGGGCGAGTCATTACACGCCACCCGGCTTCCTTAATGGGACTTCCAGTAGTCGGTATCCGTGAGTACCGAAAAAAATATCGGTACTCGTACTCGATACCAAAAAAACGGTAACGGTGCATCCCTAGCTTTAAAGGAGAACTATGAGGTGAGTGCTTTTCACTCACCTCATAGTTCTAGCCGACCTGTGACAATGAGACTGTCACAGGTCGGCTCAGTAGATCGGGAAGTGAGCGAACACATACCCGGGTTCACTCACCTCTCGATCCTGTCACAGCTCTCTGCCGTGACAGGGGAGGGACTGGATTCCCCCCTCCCCGCTCCGATCCGCAAGCGCTGACTGGCGCATTGGACGGTTAGGGGGTAGGGGCCTCTAGATAGGCAGAGCCAGATGTCACTCACGCAGCTGGGCGGATCCAGACATACCGTATTTTGCGGTCCATAAGACTCACCGGACCATAGGACGCAGAGAGGTCCGGCGCGCCTTATGGAGCACTCGACAGACTGTAGCTTCTGACACAGCTTCTATGACAGAAGCTGTGACAGAAGCTGCAGTTAGTGAGCGCTGAGACAGGTGGCGCTGTGATTACAGCGCCACGGTCTCAGTGATCACACAGAGCAGACGAAAGTCGCCGCTGCTCGGTTTTAATACGAGTGATCTTATTAGATCACTCGTATTAAACGAGCAGTGGCTCCTACTGCTGAATACGATCGCCGCCGCCGCTGCTCGGCTTTAATACGAGTGATCTCATTAGATCACTCGTATTAAACGTGCAGTGGCTCCTACTACTCGCCCGGCGCCCGAAACTGCATGTCTCGGGCGTCGGGATTCGCTCCATAAGACGCAGGCACATTTTCCCCCTCCTTTTGGGGGGAAAAAAGTGCATCTTATGGAGCGAAAAATACGGTAATTGTCGGGATACGCTTCAGCTGCGGCGTCTCAGTATACCGCGAGCAGTAGCTCGCGGTATACTGAGCTCAGGGTGACGGGAGGACACTAGTTTGTATCCTCCCGTTACCCTAAGGAGAACTATAGGGAAAAGCCCTAACCCCATAGTTCTCCTTTAAGGTACAGTCCACCTTTAGAAAAAAATTAAAGACTGAGTTTAATGTGCAGGTCTTTTTGTGACAGAACTGTTACAAAATCACATGTGAAGTATACAGGTCTTCTACCGTAAGTAGGTGGTTGTTTGCTGGTATGGAGTGATGGTTTTGCTGTGTGAACCCGCTTGTTTTTACTATGTAACTCTTTGCTGCTATTCAGATATGTACACACAAGATATCTATGTAAATGGAGGGGTTAAATGAGGCGAGGGAAAAGGAATCCCAAATAAGATGGAATATGACCTCCCATCCTCTCTAGGTCCTGACGAAGCCCTGAAGGAGACAGGGCGAAACGCGTAGACAATTTCAGTTGTCCGTCCCTGTTCCATTTCTCACCACGTGATAAGAAACTGTTGTTTACCTGACTGTGGCTTGATTTTTTTCAACACTACAAGAGCTCTGCTATGAGGTACTCTGGTCTATGTGATTGATCTATGTGGCCCTTTTCGGTGAAGAATGTCTAATGCGGACCCTGTGCTGTATATCAGAATCTACAAATATGAGCATTGAAGTGTTGTCATGTGCTGATTATCATTAATAACAGCGGGAGTAGCAGAGTCAGACACGCAGGAGGCATCCACTAGCAGCCGCAGTGTACTGTGTATAAGATCACATGGTTGCTGAGCTTTAAAATGGACTGATAATACTGAGCTCATAATGCAATAAGTGGGGTTCCAGGGGTTCCATTGACCCTTTACGTGAAAGATTCGTCATGTTCCTTATGAAATGTGGCGCACAGTTATTATTTTGAAGAGAGACTTTAAG